CAACTAAACAAAAATCAGAGAAAAATACATACAATTTTGACTATAAGACAATATAATTAAAGGTAGAGTAACTCAGGGCTATTCCGACCAGTTTCTGCACTGTGATCTAATTAAATATTCACGAAGTCATAATTCACTCTTTTTTGCTTTATTTTATTTATTTTATTCATCAATGAGTTCTATTTTGTCTATTCTATTTGTAATTTCTTGAAATCAACAAGTCAGCTTAAACTTTGGATGAAAACAGTACTTTCACTGACCTAGTTGTTGGGGCTATTCCGACCCTCCAGATACTAAGTAGTATACGGAAAAATTATGCAGTGACCGGAGATATACAAGCACTATCACTAGGTGATAATACGTGAAAAAGCTAATGAACACAAATTTTTAGCCAGAGTTGCTTAGCTGCACTTTATAAAGATCAAGCTGTTTTTGGTGTTGGTAGTTAGAGAATTTTATGCTGAATAGATACATCCTTGTTTCAGTCCTGTATCTGCTATAGTTAAGAAGTTACAACTGGAGAAAGAGGACCCTCTAACTGGGGCTATTCCGACCGCTGCACATGAATTTCCCATTGGTTTATACAGGGGGACAGAATAGCCCTGGGACGGTATAGCTCCAACTTACTCTAATAATGTAATACTGTATAGTCAGAAAATTTGGCGAAGAATTACATTTGTGTAAATTGGTGGATTACTTGCTTCCAGAGGTCCATCTGCAATGCATCAGCTTGATTATCAGTCTATCATTAATCAACTCTGAAAGCTCTTCATTTACCTTCATACTTTTGTGTGTACTAATTAGTGACAAATAAATTGATATCACATCTAAACTTAGTATAATACCTACTCTGGCTTGGTCTGCGGCTCAGTCAGCTACCACTGAGTTTTAATAGTTTGGGAAAGTCCCTCACCAGCTCCAATTAAATTAATATTCACATATTACATGTATCTATGATTACAACAAGGTATAAATTACACATTACAGTCAATTTACATGACTACTGTACCTTAAGATAAGTCAAGAGGAACTGAAGTGAAAGCGAGTGAAAGCCATACAATGAATGATTATTCTAATTAACGTCCTACTGTACTGAGCATGCTCAGAAGACAGCATGCTATTAAAAATGGCGTCTACCAGTGAATCCATGACTGCTTGGGCCAGAGAACACGATTTTTCCTTGATTTTGCTCGCCTGTATTTAATGAGTGACTGCACTTCTTACACTACAGCGCAAGAGAATGGTGTAAAAATCATTCTTCTGTGATTGATATCCTAGGAGGAGTTTTGATTGACAGAAAGAAGAAGAAGAAGAAGAAGCAGAAACCTGAACGGAATACGCACGCGTGCATGCATTCATGCACCCCGTAAAACCGTACTTATCGATATTTTCAGCTCCTTTTGCTGGTTCCCAAGTCTTCTAAAGGTAATGAAAAGCTCATCAAGGCTCTCAAGTAAGAAATAAAGTTAGAATATCCCAGAGAAATGAGCAAGAATGGCTCAATTCGGGCAGCCATTTTGACCAACTCAACCCTACTAACCAAGCTCTACCGCTTGGCAATAACCAAGCTCTACCGCTTGGCAATAGACACAGTTATTATTTTAGCAAAATAGCAAGTGCACGCCTAAGTGAGGAGGATTAAGATTTTATTTTTGTCCCTTATACAAGACGATTAA